TAGGAAGCTAAACAAAAGGAAGAGCTTTTAGTCCACCTAACCTCAAAAAGATAACGTTTCTTTCATTCCACGCGTGCTAGGGGAAATTTGCGGAAATTTGCGGTGACTGGTTTTAATTATACATGTCCCGGGAGCTGACACTTCCTAGACGAGATATAATTTTATTTTTACTCGTCGTCGCGATTTCGCCTTTCGATTAAAACTTCCATTTCCATCGTTGGAAACGGAGCTCCATCGAGGAAGAATAAATTAACCTAGCGCTATGCCGTACAAATGGCAAATTCGTCGGTGCAACGCACGCCGCGAGTCGGAGCCAAATGGGACAAATTTATCATCCGACCCGGCCCGAGCGGATCCCGTTTACTCGCGAAGCGGCCTAAGCGTCGATATCGTGACTTTCTTCGTACAAAGGTGCAACAACGAATGCGTAGTCGGTTATAAATCGCGATGATTTTACTCTTTGTCGAGCGTCGCGGAGAGGACGGTGACTCAGGGTAAAATTCGGTTTACGCGCGAGCAATAGTGTCGCGGAAATGCGGCCCATCGCGGAGCGGAAGCGGGAGTAAACATTGGAGCATGGACGAAATAGTTGGCCGGTGGCCACTCGATGGTCCCGTGTTTTCTTAATTTCACTCGGACCGCGATTCGCCTGTAACGACCCACTTGACGTTGCGCGGAATCGCGCGTACGCGGACGTTTTCGTTTTGGCCGCGACGCGCTGGCTCGCGTCCAGAAAGCCGAGATTCGAGCGGAATCACTCGACCCGGAATCGCGTCGTCGGTGTTTCAGGACGTTCGCGCGGTCGTAACGCGACTCCATTATCGCGGACCTCTCCTCCTCTGCCGCCGATACGTGCACCCGCTTCCTCATCGCGATTCGGTACGATGGCTCGGTGCGGTTTCCGGAGGACAGAGAGCTGGACGGAGGCAACGACGGGTGGGTCGTGTCGTTTCATCGCGTGTAACGAAAATGACTCATCGATGGGCATGCATCGGACGATAACATGTTGTGGCGAGCTATCTGTGGAATTCTCGGTAAAGCGAGCCGTTCTCTTTATTCGATGGTATTTAAAATTATCAAAATTAAAGTGCTCGTGCTGCTGCTCATCTGCGCGGCCGAGATAACCGGCGGCCAAGAGGAAAATACGAGAACCCTGCCCGTCAGAAGGAACGACATAATTATTATTTACGGTTTAATTTATCAACGGGCGCGCCTGGGACCGCGGAGGGGCAACGGCGAGAAGGAAAATCACGAGTATAAAGGGAATTCTGTACACCGAGGGAGATACGAATAATGTCACTTTCTCGAGCGGCTCGGATAACAGCGGAAGCGAGCAACGCCGTCTCGTAATTGGATTAAGACACGTGCATACGCGGGTAAGTCACTGGGAGCGAGATCGGCGAATGCGATTAAAAATGGACAGCGTAAGCCCGATGACGTGGCCGCCGCTCCGAATACTTTTTCCCTGATTAATTACCAGCTGATTTCATCGAACAGAGGCTAGAACCGGAGTGACTGACGGGCGGATCGCGATCTCCAACGTCAAGCTGACTGACAGCTCGAGCGATAGCACGGTACTTGGAATCGAATCCGGTGATGGCTCGAAAAATCATCGCGAGATCTATTAATAGCGCTCGCATAGCTGCTCTACCTTCCAGCCTTGAATCTTCCGCGTGTCACACGCGTCTGTGATCATCTTGCGGCATCGCCTCGCGGATAAAACGCGCGCGAAATTCGTGGAAATTCGAGAAAACGAAAAACACCGATATTTGACGCGAGATTTTCGCGATTGGAATAATAATCGGTGGGTGGAAAAATCGGAGATCGCGTTCGAAGGATAAGCGAAAGTGGACGATTCGCGAAAAGCCTGCTCGCGAAGAAATTAATCACTCGGCCGCTGACGAACGAATCATCGGGACGATTGAACGCGCGAGACACGTTCACGGCTACGCTCGATATAATTTATGGAGATTTACAAGGATTTTCCAGACAACAGCGCTAAGAATAAGCGCATGTGTTCGGAAATATGATATAGCCACCGCAAGCATCGGATCTCGATCTTATCGAGCCGCGAGCGGGATGAATTTCACTGAGAAATTAGAGAACCGAACTTCCAAAGTAAAGAAAAAATAAAAAGAATCACCTTGAGTCTCGAACGTGGTCGATAGCGAATTTCTTCGCGGGCCTCTAGCTGCCGGAACGCGTTAAAAATCGACGCGCGGAACGATCGGTGATCGGTTATCGGAGGAAACAAAGGACTCGCAAATGTGAGCGGAGTAAATTCGCGGGTATCGCGGTTGGCGAGTGGTGGAAAAATAATTTGGGCTATCGACGATCGGCGATAAAACGGTGGAAACGTAAGGAGAGACGGAGGGACGAGAGATACAAAGTACGAAATCGGCGGTAGAAAGAGGCGGTAGCGTGACAGCGGCTAATGGAGGAGGATCGGGCCCCGCTACGATGCAATTTTATCATCGACGGAGGCGGCGGCGGCGGCGGCGACGCCGGCGTATCGCGGCGATCCAATGCCGTTTTCACCGCCGCCGCACTCTTTTTTCCTTCCCTCTGTGCCCCCTCGGCAAGATCTCTAACTACTGTTCCTCGTACCGATGCAGTATATCGCGTTACCGGGATCGGCGTGTGTAACTTTATAACACGGCCCGCGAGACTATTTCCCTCTTCCAGTTATAGACCGCAATGTTATTACTACCGAGGCGAGCAAACACACGATTTCGCAGTTTCCTCGCGGGCCTGCAAACGCGATATTTCATCGGGATAGGTAATGGGAAATCGTCGGCCGGCGATAGACTCGCGCGGTTTAGCGCCTGACGCGGCGGAGATAGGAGCGTATATAGGAGCAACGTTTCGCTAAATAATTATTCAACCACGTTGTAAATCAGTCGCGACCGTGGACACGTATCTTTGCAGGCAAGCGTAGAGCGCGCGTGCCACCGGTATAAATTGCTATAATTCTGTAAATTCCGCGCGAACCCCTCTCTCTTTCACTCCTTCCTCTCTTCCTCTTTCTCCTTCTTCTCGATCGCCGCGGTTACACCGGCGTAATTACAAGCTGACGTTTCTATAAATTCGCGTTCGCCGGAGCCGCCGGTATCGTTACGATTCCATAAGGTTAACGCCTCCTCCGTGGCTGCAATTATGTGCCTGGAAACCTACTAATCTTCTAACAGCCGGATAGCATCCGTGAAACCGAGCTATCTAATCGTCTTCGCGCAGGGCGGTTCGAGGCGAAAGAGAATTTATCGAACGGGGTCCGGAGGAACGGAACGAATCGCGCGGCGCTGCGCACGCTCGATATTCCTCTCGTTCTTTTCGTTTGAATAACCCTGTAGAATCCGAGCGGGCGGCTGATTCAACCGCTTCTTCTTTTACCATGAATGGCACCGCATTGTTCCCTGCTTCCGTGCAATGCACGCACCCGCGCATTACCTAGCGCGCACGCACTCCGGCGCATGCGCACACGTGCGCGCGACTCGCGCCTACGACACCACCGCGCACGACAGAATTCTGCAGAAGTAGCTATCGTATGTTTCCCCCGCGTACAATGTTCGTGACTGGTTTTATCGCCGCCGGGCCCTTGGTACCTCGTCGCGCGAACCTACACGCGAGCTCCTTCGCCGCGATCGCGCGAAAACACGCGTTCCACGCGCGATTCCGCGACTCCGCGATTTCGCGCCCCGCTTTTCGGGGCCATTCGTAGCGACCGCGACGCCGATTCGGCGATCGGTCAAGTTCGGTCACCCTAAACCCGCGCATGACCGTAACCTTTCCTCTAGAATGGCGCAATTGCCACGCTTACGGCGGCGTTTAACGATTGCCGTAACGACATAACGAGTCTAACATTCGGTTTTTTTATCACGTTCCCGGCCACGTGAGTTTCGCCGGTGACCCACGATATTTGCCGGCGGAAAAACTTGAAAGGGAAAAAATGAGTAACGGTTTCACGAAGCTCTCGACGACCACGTACAACTTAATACGGTTGCGCGATTTTATACCGACTTTATACCCATTTTATACGATTTAATACGATTACTCCGAATAGCGGTAATCGTAATCGTTTCGCCATTCGACCGCGTGTCTAAGAACCACTTTGCGCTACAGGCTGATGCAAAAGTAACGTCTGTCGAAAAATTTGTAATTCCACGAAAGACCAAACCACTTTGCAAACTTTATTATAAATTTCCCGACGTTTATTGTAGATATTTTTTTATCGTTTTCAAGAATAACTAACTCAACCGAGTTTTCGTATCATCCCGTGTGATACAACGAGGTATTTTGTACAAGTTCGTCGGTGTAAAATTGAACGATTGACGTTTAGAAAAATACGACGATTAACCGCAATAATAGCGACATTTGGCGCAGTCTGCGTCTCGGGTCTTCCTCCTCTGTTTGCATCTGAATATCAGTGGCGTTCGTTCGCAGCGGATCACGCGCGTGTTTGTAGCATTCGCGTGTACCAACACAGCGGCGCGCGCGGGCGCTCGCGTCCCGAGCGTTGAAGCGCGCTTGCATCGGAGCAGCACGCGGAGAGTGCGAACGGGCGTGTTTGCAGTTCCATGGCGGACGTGGACCGAGATAACACGTTAAAATAGTACGCCAACAAACGATAACACGCATTTAGAATATCTGCCGCAGTGTCGTTCCTCGCTGCGATATTGAATCGCGCGCCTCTCTATAATTGCAATGATTCAAACGACCAACACCCTACTTCTTCTTCTTCTTCGTCGTCGATGTTGTTGTCGTCGGCGTCGTCGTCGTCGTCACCGTCATCGACGTCTTCGTGGTCCCCGACACGCAGATACCGAGCGAAAAGGGAAACGCAGAAGAAAAGTAAAAAAGAAATAAAAAGAAATAACCGCATGTACGCGCGTGGTTGTCTGCGTTGCCACGATAATGATAAACTACAACTTTTCATCGGCGTTGCAGCCGAGGTCGTTTACACGTGCTGCTCGAGCAGGGAAAAATGAGGTTTTTAATCTTACCTAAGCAACATGGCAGAGTAACTTCAGGGAGAAGAATGTCGATGCTTGAACGCTATATCGCGAGCATGCTGCTGCCAATTGGTACTCTTCGCGCTTTCAGCCTGAACTTCTGACAGCCACCTGGAAGACAGTTTAAGAGGGTGCTTGTTTTATTAGATTCCTTCGCTCTTCCCGTGGCTGATGCTCGAAATATCTCACGGAGATCTATCGGTTAACGCGTTGATGGTCCGCGCGAAAGAAACGCGTTACAAAGGATGCATTGAACGGTACGTTAGAAAATGACGGATCGAACAATTACGTGGAGCGCGGGGTATAATCTACCGCCGGAGGATCGAGCTGCTCGATCGAGAAACTTGTCGCAAACAAACTATCGTAAGAGGCATTATTCGAAGAAGCGACATGCGGGACGAGTGACAGCGGGACAAGCGATATGATAATTCCGCGACTATGGTACCGACACCGTTCTTAATTAGTTCCCCGACATCGCAAAAACCGTTACCAAACAGACTTTCGTTGAGTCCGCTTCCCGAGACGCTATGGCGGACGATAAACAAATGTATCCGACATAGAAATAGCCGGCAAGAAACGAATTCCGATGGAATTCCGCGCCACGGAGCTTATCTATGGCGCGGCTATAAAAAGCAGCGCTCGACTCCGGCTAAGAGCATTAGTTGTTCATCCATAACTTCAACCTACAAATTCCTCTAACCATTCTCCGAATCATCGATCAACAAAGCGTAAAAAGCGCGTGGTCGATCATTCCGGAACTCTCGGTCGCTTGAGAGCGCGGAACGCGTAATTCTGGCCGCGTTCTATAGGTGGAAAGACACACCTGCCGGCGCGTGTCACGTTCGTTTCAGAGCGGTCATGTCGACGCGGTGCTCGTAAATGTAATCGCGTCAATTAAAGCGACACTTACGGATTTCTAATCGGCAGCCCCATGCGTGCCGGATTATGTCACCTGTTGGCACGTTCACGATTTTAATCGATCGATTCGCGCAAACCACGCCAACGATTCCTCTCGTCGCATTTTTCTCCCCATTTCCTCGCTACCATCCCTCTCACGGCTACTCGCGCCTTAGTCCACGGTTTATGTAACTCCGCCAACGAGGATCGTGTATTAATTACAGCGGTGGCGGGCAGCTGTGTCGCCACGCGGCCCTGAGAAAAAGTCCCACTCGATCGCATCTTCGATTTACACGCGAATCAAACGGATTACCCCGATCGAGAAACGCGTGACCGAGCTTCGTCGATCGATACCGAATCGAGGAATTCGTTTGCAGGAGAATCGGAGCAGAATCGGAGGAAGTACGAGCGACGAGGCGTGTTTGGTCTCCTATCCGCGCAGCCAGGCCCGACAAAAACTGGCCCCGGCACGGAGCAGCCTCGGCAAAGTCTAGAACTATTAGATCAAGGCACGAGGTGGACTATTCTTAACGCGGTTCTCCTTTGTTCCCGAACAGGAAGTCCGCTCCTTTGAACCCTCGCTTCGGCTAGGTTGGTTCCAACGTCTTCTCGGATGTAATACACCGATCGCGACGCGGTCCAGCGTGCTCTTGGATCCCTAATTCGGGATAGAAAAACTGGAACGCGTACGTTCTCCGAGGGAAGCACCGGGGGTCTGTAACCGTGGCGCTTGGAACCCGAAAGGAATCGAGTTTCGAGTCGCGGCGAGCAGGGAACACCCACATAGCCCGTGAAAGGTATAGAGAACGTAGGTGATTTCGCTATTCTGGCACACGATGCGGTGCATCGGATAAGAGAGACGAGGCAGAGTCCAGATATAGAGCTGCTGTAGGTAATAGTTCGGTAGGTGGTAGTGGTAGCGCGAGCGGTAGGACCGGTAGGTTTGGTTTACTTCAAGTTCGTTGCGGCCAGCCGGTTCGCCACTTTTCTTCTTCGTCTCTTCCTCTTCCTTTTTTCCTCCGGGGCATTTTTCTCCTTTTTGCCTCTCCTTCCCTTCTTCTGCTATTTCCTCCTCGTTCATGATCTCCCACCGCTTCATCGGCCACCCCTTTCCTTCTCCTTTTGCTTTCCGCGGCGTCCCTCTGTCCTCCTCTTCGCTCCATTTCTTCCCGAGGTGTTTATTTTAACGCGAGGCCGAGGTGCAACGAAAAGGTATCGGTTAAAATCGGTCGCTTCGGCACCCGCGGACGCGATAACATCGACAAACCGCGTATATAGCTGGCTTCCGTGAAATATTAGAGGTGCCAGGCTGTTACTGCTGGCGCTGGTAGCCTGTCCTTTTCGTTTCACGAACGCGCAGTGGAACCGGGGGGCAGGCGAGGGGGCAGGATGGCTCGTCAGGCGCAGAATGGTGGGAACGGAAAGAAAATCTCGAAGAGCCTCTTTGTAGATACCGACAACTTTGATAGAGGCGTGTCCACGTCGACAACCTACCATTAGGATGAATAAGCATATCTTTATGAGATCCGAACAAACCGCGAGCCTTCCCGTATTGATTACGTTTTTACTTCTTAAATAACCCCCCCTGAAAGGACAGGCCGTTTTGCCTAATGGATCACCGGGTTTACCGTAAACGCGGAATCGCCGATGATATTCGGGCAACGTGCCGCCAACTGGTATCAACCAGAAGCACATGTTGCATAATGCGCAATACGAATACACGTTAGCGTTACCTTGCTTAATTGCCGCATTATCGTGCTACCTTGTAACGCCAATTTTCATTTTTATTACCGCCACTTTTGTTACTCGATCATTACCGAACACCATAACTATTAGCATTTCATTAACTCGACAAAAAGCAAATTGGTTACAGCGCATACCTCCGACGAGTGCGCATGCGCCTGCGCAGGCGGAAAAAGAGCATAGAAATCAAAGAGTACGCAGCATGACTGACATACGTCTCCGGCCGAGTATCAATTGTAAGCGTGTTTCACCGAAGCAATAAGAAACTCTATCTGTCGGAATCTCCATTGCCGGGACAATATCCATTATTATATTACATCATTGCGTAATCGACGTTTACGGTTTTATGGGACTGGCCTCGCGCGCGCACCGTCCGCGCGCGTCCAGCAAACTCGAGGAATCGGAGTCGTTCGGTCGGTTCCGTGAACGTTCGGATTCCGCCGATCGCACTGGCAGACATGCTGGCAGCACCAGGATTTCCCGGTATTCGTGCAAGTTAAATGGTATATACGTGAAAGGGAAGGAAAAGCGTGTTTGACGCGAATAGCCGATCATCGCGGATTATCCGTCGCGGCGTACGTCTCGCGTCGCGACACTCCGACACCAGATGCCGGGCGTTGCTTCTAAAATCGATTCGCGTCCTCGTCTGGTCCTTCCCGAAGTCCCGCGGGCAATTTGAAAACCGTCGATTAGAAAACGTTCGATCTACGCGTTCTCGAGTTGCGATGCATCGTCCATCGCTGTCCCAATTTTCGCACTCGACGCGAGTGCCCGAGAGAGGTTAGGTTCAGCTTGGACGCACGATCCGAGTCGAATCTTTCGCGAATTCTTCCAGGTTCGATAGGAAAAGCCTTGACGGCGAGGGAAGCTCGGACAGGGGGTTAAGCCCGTTTCGCATGGAACTGGTTCTAACGGAGTTTTATGCGGCTTCCAGTGGACCAGTTTTGCGGCCGTCAATGAAGTGCACTGTACACGAGTCGCGAGCGCACTTGAGCGGCGAGGAGGGGCCCGGTGCTCGCTGCTGCTGCTGCAGCACGCAGTGCACATTGCCCAGTGCCGAGAGAGAACCAGTCATTGGCCGATCGGCCAATCGCGTCACGGACCAAAAGAAGACGACCGCCGGTCGCTCGTTTCGAATGGTTCGCCATGAGTCGATTCGTGCGACGATCTATCTTCTCTCCTCTCTCGCTCTCGTCGCTCTTCCTCGTCTTTCCTTATCGCGTATGCACCACACACGCACACACATGCACGCGCGACACACACACGCACGCGATTCTCCGTTCTCTGTCTCCACTCGCCCCCTCCCCTTCTATCATCCCCCTCCTTCTTTCTCTTCTTTTTCTCCGACCGTATCTCTCTCTCCCTCCCACCCTGTCCCTCTTCGTCCGGCTCGCTCGCTTCTTTGTCTTTCTCGCTCGCTCCTACCCGCTGCGTGCTCGCTCTTCTCTTTTCATTGGTCTCTCCTCATTGCAAAGTGCCGTAATATTCTCCTGCCGGAGTTATTTTCGTCGCGCTCACCCAACCAGCTCTCCCGAGGCGGCATTGCACGGGTTGCTCTCTGCGCATTGTCTCGAGGCCCCTGCTGGAGTAACTGGATTTCCAGGCTAGCAAGGCGATCGCCGCCGATACCACCGATCTTCCCACTTTACTTTTGTCTCTCCCCTCCGGTTCTTGGAAAGAGAAGAAAGAAAATAAAAAAGGAAATGGCGAGTCGAAAGTGGTATTCCCGTGACCATTTGGGGGAAAGCGTCTTCGCTCGATCGACGAAAAGAGACTCTCGAGAGGTCGAAGCGGTCGAGAGCGGCTCGGTAAACCACAGTGCCGCTTTTAGACTCGTTAAATACATCTGCAGATCGTTAATCGGGGCCTGAATGAAAGGAACATCATGATCAACCGAGACAACCGTGCTCGTAATCTCTCGTGTACACACTGCGCAGCGTACACCGCTCGCCAGTGTGCGCTGCCGCACGCGCACGTGTGAGTGGCACTCGTTACTTAATGCTTACTTATGTCGGCGCATTACTCGTTAGTCATTACTCAACCACCCTTATGCCCGTACACAACACACAGCAGCAGCTTTTGATATTCCCCGGATCACGCAAGCCGCCGAACCGAAAATTAAAGACACCGCGCGTCGTTATAACATTGAAAAGTAACCGTGCTCGCGGAACCGAGGATATTTATTAACCCCCGCCACAGGAAATTTTAGCGCTACGTTTCCAACAATATCCCGGCATTTCGTCGGTTATTTTGCATGACGACTTAATTAGAAGGAACGACGTCGGAGGAATTTTCATTCGTACGAAACTCCTCTCGGGAAGGGATCTTTCTTCCCATTTTTTTCCAATTTTCCTCTGAATTTTTTCTTTTCATTGACATTATTTTCTTCTTCCTTTTCCCCGGGTACGATATTCCGCGTGAATTTTCAAGAATCCTGGCAGAAAAATTTTTCTTTCAAATTACGTACACCGATCTGCTACGCACCGTCGAAATTACGTTGCGAATTTCGTTCGCGGATTATACATGTACCTGCGCTATATACGATCAGCGTAAAGGAAACGTGCGAATATCAAGCGGCTATACCGTTGCATAACGCGACACGATTTCGCGTTTGATAACGATAAAATTCTATCATCGCGACGCGTTTAGCACACCGAGTGCATTTGCTCTCGATACGGTCTCTGGACCATGATCGTTTCGTGGTACACGCGCGTTAAATCCCTCTTATCCCGTCTCATCGATCGAGGGTTGAAAGTGGAGAGAAAAACGTCTTCTATCTATGCGGCGCAAGAAGCTAGCTGCTTCGAAAGATTCGCAAAAACCGCGCAATCATGATTGCTTAGGTCATCCTACGTTTTATTAATTTCCCCCGAACGGGCTGGCACAGGTCAATCGCGCAATTTCAGTGCTCGCGCGAAGCATGTAGGGCTAATTACGGTCATTAAGCACGGCGAATACTTAGCTTAACTGATTAATTAGAAAGCACGTTTTTTTCCATGCTCGAATCGTGGCCGTGCGCGCGCACACGCGAACAAGATTTCGAACGAATAACGAACGCCGAATCGCTTTCTTTCTTATGGGACAAAATGGCAGCGCACCCTGTAATTTTCAGTGCTCCTCGAGACTAATGCGATAAATGCAAAAGTTACAGACGTACTCGTTTCACGAATCCCGTTCTTAATAATAAAGAAAATGACCAACCACGGTTAATATTTTTTGCGATAAATTCCAGCCATTTATACATACGTAGAGCGCCTGCGTCGAAATTATAGCGTGTTAGGTTAGGGAGATAAATAACTAGAAAGTATCGATTTCTTCTGTATTTACGAAGATATTTCAGAGAATAATTTTATCCCAATATCTTTATCAATTGTATCGTGTAGTACTAACCTTTCTCTGCAAAATCACGCCTGATTTACAATCGCACGATTTTCGTTCGTCAAAGTATATTTCTTCCAAGTTACTCGAGAAATTAATTCCTTTATCCAGAGATTTCCTTTGCCAACGTATATATTGCCTCGAGATTACTCGAGAAACACTGAAAATCACAAGGTGCGCCATGATTTCGCCGTGCACTGTATTCCACGCGAGGTTCGTCGACATTGAAGTATCTAACCTAATCTGTCAGGATAATCGACCAATCGCCGCCGCCATCTCGTTTCTTTCGATCGATTTTCAAGATGGAACGTTCCGCGGCTTAAGCCAGCGACGTATATCCCGCGGGACACTATTGCTCAAATGGGAATTTTCAAAATGGTACGGTGGAACGAATACCCGGCGAAATAAATGCCGCGATACGATATTAAACTGCTTGCATTAATTGCCATTAGATGTATCGTAGATCATACATCTGCAGCACGCTACTATCTCGTCTATCGAGATACAGAGGGAGAACGGGAGCAAACGAGAAGGACGGAGAAAGAGAGAAAGACAGAGGGAGGAAGGGTGGGGGAAGGGAGAAAGAGAAAGAGAGAGAGAGAGAGAAAGAGAGAGAGAAGCACGGGGCTGAAGTGTAGCGGTTTCCCTCGAGATTTATTGCCCGTGCGCGCAATTTACGCGCGTGTATCCTGAACTGAAATTATGCAAAACAGTCGCGGCCTGACAAGTGGCATTTTTATCGGAAG